GACACCAACAAGGAAGAAAGGGTATAATCACAGAATAAGGGACACTCTTTCCAAAGAAAGGCTCATGGGCACACTGGATAGAGGTCTTCGTTGTACATTATAGAAACCCCTCTAGCTAGTTTGAGCACAAAACACTGTATTACGGAATCTAGATAGTTCACGGAGTAATTGGAGGGCCTGAAGGAACAGACTCTAAGCAAAACCTCCTCAAACCACGCCACAGAACCAGGGCACCGAGGAAGCTGCCAACTCAGGAAGCTGCTGCCACAGTGGCTGGCTCATGGACTTCGGCTCCTCAAAATAAGCGCCAATCTCATGCCCTATTCAACTCCCACACTATTTAATGCCAAATCAAGGTCCTACATGAGTTCAGCTCAGTGGCAGGACCTAAACAAATCTAGATCCCCATCTGCCAAGGGGCCTGGGAAATGTGGGTTTAGTTTTCAGCCTCTGCTGCACAGGAAGGTATGTGGGACTGGAGAAGGCACTGAGTAAATCAGCTCACTGCTGTTGGTGAGCTTTGCTGGATTCGCATGAAATATGTCAAAGTCTGATCCTGGATTGTGCAGGGATCAGAGGGATATCCTGAGGGATGAGCGCAGTCATGCTTTATTGAGATGATTCCGAAGGTCAGGGAATTACACCGACACCTGCTGAGGTCGTGGCTCTTTCTGTGAAGAGACTTTGCTGCCTGGGGCCACAGCATTAACTACACCCTGGCTAGAGTGGAAATCTGTCATATTCATGGCTGTCCATCAACTTTTGAATATTTTTTTCATATTTGGGAATATTTGCATGTAATGAATCCTACCTCTCCAATATTAAAGTCAGAGTTCAAATTTCCAGACTCCTTTGCAGCTAGGATTTAGCATGCAATCAGGGCACTGACAATCTGACGCCCATACTGGAGACTGACCCAGAAACTGGTAGCATGAAGAAGCAGGCGGTACAGTGCGTGGCGTTTCCATGTTTGCCGACGTGGACGGCAGCAGAGGCCTCAGCCTTCAGAAGCGGTGGTGAGGTCCGATTCCCAGCTCAGAAGTGGCAGTGATAGGGCAGGAGCGGCCGCTTCCTGAGATCTAGTGCTCACTACCCGCAGCCACAGTAATACCAGTTTCTCTCCCTTGGGCTAGTTCTACCGCAAATTTTAGGGCATTATTGCTGGAAACTTCACCTTGATTTTATTTCTCAGTCTTCCAAATTATTATTTATCCTTCAGAGTAAACTCCCCTGATGGCCTCAGCCAGTGAGAGTGAATTCTGTTGTGGGCAACTGAGAACCCACCTGCTGTGCTGGGTGCCCCGGGGACACCCGACTGACGCCCTGGCCTCTCCGTCTCACTGTGGGTGCCATTCCTGCAGCAGAAGGGGCTGCCTGGACCTCATTCATTTCCTTCTTAGTCGGGTGTGGAGAGGGGTGGGAAAGGTGCCCTTCTCTCTGATGGCCACCTTCCCAGGAGCCCCTACAGAATGAGAATGCTTTTTGTCGTTGAATTTTTATCACCAACACTTTGTGACGGTGGGTAGTCAGCAAATATTGGATGAATGAATGAATGAATGAATGAATGAATGAATGAATGGTCCAGCGCACTATAAAGTTATGCCCAGCTGGGTCCATAATCTATACCGGTGCTGTCCATTACAGCACCCACTAGCCACATAGCTATTGAGCACTTTAAATATAGCTAGCACAATTGAGGAACTACATTTTTATTTTTTTTTATTTTTTTTTTATTCCAACTGATTTAAATTTTTAAATTTATACCTAACTTCATTTTTAGCTTAATTCGTGTATGTAAATGTATTTTTTATGCTATAAATTTTATGGAAGCTAAATACAGATCAAATATTTCCAATAAAAATTTAGCACATTTTCAATACAAATTGAGATGTGCTGTAATTGCAAAATACACACGAAATTCAAAATACTTTATGAAAAAAATAATTCAAAATATGCCATTAATAATTTTTATATCGATTACATATAGAAATTATAACACTCTGGATATATAGGTTAAATAAAATACATTATTAAAACTGATTTCACAAAAATAAAAATAAACATGAATGATTTGTAAAAAAAAAAAAACTGACTTTACCGGTTTCTCTTTACATTTTTTTGATGACTACTAGAAAATATAGAATTAAATATGTGGCTTTCACTCTGTTTCTGTTGGACAGCATGGATCTGGTCACTCAGCAGACAGACAGGGTGCCGAGGACACATGTTACCCCGAGGACTGGAACCTCTAACCCTGCAGACCAAGGCCTGACCTCACCTGCTCATTGCCCTCCTGCTCTAAACCCAACAGGAAGGAGTTTAGGTGTGGGCTTCTACAATATGCAAAAAGCAGAAGTCACAAATTTAGGGATTTTAGGGACCAGGCAGATAACCTACAAGGAAAAGGCTGGAAGTAATGCCATAGGCAGTGGCCAATTGCTCTATTTAAAGGAAATACACAAAGAAAATCCCCAAGGGCATGTCCTGGGTCGCCAGTGTCCCATCTCTGCATGAGCCTATGGAATCAAAAGAAGACCCTTGGAGAGCCTGGAACACAGTTGCTCCATTCTAAGGGTAAAGAGGCTGAAGCCAGAGAGATGAGAGCTGTTCTTCCTGCGCCACAGCCAGGGCTGAGCACCAAGTCTCCCAGAACACGTCTCAGCTTTAGGTGCAAGCAAATACATGCCGATCGGGTTTGATTTGGGAAAGGCAGGATCCGCCCTACACGGTCAAGCAGCCTGCCACCTACCCCAAGGTTTCCAACCCTCTTTTCCTGGCACTTCAAATCCATTCCGAGGAATTAGGGAGGAGAAGGGCCAGAAGGCATTAGTCTCGTCACAGAAACCCTTGTGGCCTCTATTCACATTTCCAGAAAACTTGAAACTCTTAAATGATTTGTCCCAGGGTAAGGAGGAACACAAATAAAGATGCCTTTGGCTGGCGTGGAAAGCAAGGAAGAGATGATGGGAGAAAAGGGGGAAGCTGTGCTGGGACTCCAGGGAAGAAAGATGCTCTTAGCAAAGAGATCCTGAGGCAGGTGCCAGGGCAGGAGGCCGAGGCACCAACCCGGAGAGGCTGGCAGCCCCTGGTGGGGCGGGACGGCTAATGAGAAGGGTGGGAGAGGATGGTGGGGCTGAGGGAAGAGGGAGACTTGCTTCTAATGAAAGACAAGTGAACCTCCCTGACTTACCTTGCTGGACCCAGACAATTTGCATACTGGAAGCACAATCTACAAAATGCGTCCTCGAACCTGCCCCCATCCATACAATTTTACCAAATAAAACCATTCAGACCCACAACCAAATGTATCAAAATCTTAGCAAAATACAGTTAGTAACAAGGAAAGGCAATTTTCATATTTTATTATACAACATTGTTCATCATAGAAAAAGCCTTAATGTATTTTAATTAAATACAGAAGCAAATTGTTTAGTGTTGCCAGAGAGACTGTTCGCCTGCCCTTAAAAAAAAATTAACGCCTGTTTGCAAACAAAAGAATCACTAGAGTTCAGTCAAACCCTTTGTTCTTTCTTCGGGACCCAGCTATTAATCTCTTTCCTATATAGTGTTTAACACATAGTAGGTGCTGAATAAGTATTTGTTTGACTGGTGGGGTGCTCTTTAATAACTACCTTTATTTCCTGACCCTAAACTGGATCATGATTCATGAGATAAAATCCCCACCCATCCATTTCTAGGGTAGCCCAGTGTCTTTCAAAAGCCTTTGACATATAACACTGGTTTAGAGACATTTGCCTGAGGCAATGACTGAGGGTTTCAGAGAAAGAAACACAAAGGCAGGCACAGTAATGAGGTAGAAACACAAAGATGCTAAGACATAAAATAATAGAGAGACAGATTCAGGGATGGAAGACCGTAGGAGACGGTGAGAGCAAAATGTAGTCAGAGAGACTTAAAACTCATACAGTTTGAAATAAAGAAATAAAAAGGTTGGGCAAGAATATAATCTTGGAATATCTTTTCAGCTTTGATGTTTTATAACAGATATAATGGCAGAGAGAGAAAGACAAGGCAAGAATAAAGAGACAAAGGAAGGCAAAGGTGACAGGTGGACAGCCAGGTTTGACTGCCCCCCTTTAGATCTGGCCTGGAACCCCTGCGGAATCCCCTCCCCTCACACCCAGGAGCCCAGTCTCCTTAAAGCCCCAGCACTCCACGCTTGCTCCTGGCTCCTACCCTCAGTCCGGTCACCACTTCCCTCCACCCCCACCTGAAGATCTCTGAACCGCTCTTGGCATGTTCACATCTCTCTCCGGCATCTTCGCTGCTCCAGCCCCTGCTCAGCTCCCTCTCCCCTCCACTCCTAAAGCGGTACAGTTCATATCACTCACCTCCACTATCCACAGCATATGCCAGCTGGGGCAAAAGCAGGTCTACAGTTGTTCGTATGGAAAATAATACAATAATTAATAAATAATAGTACAAGAATAAACTCTGTTGCCTGTGCTCACAACTGGAAGCCTACTTGTAGCCACCCTGCATGTGTTGTTTTAGAGTTTGCTCCTCTGAGCGCTTCTCACTCCCACAAGAGAACTGTGGGCTTGTCAAGGCTCCAAATTCTCTCATATGTTCAGGATTCGCATGATGCCCAGTGCAATGCTGGGCATCCCTAAGGGTTCAGTGAATACTGTGGACTGACTGGTCCCCAACGGGTGCCAACGCTGCAACCTAACAGTCCATTGGTGTAGTAATAGCTTCCCGAGGCCGACCTCGAGGGGCCATCTCCTGGGCTCCTGCGCCCCCTGCCGTCCAGGAGGGGATGTGCATGCAGGACGAGTGAGTCGCAAGGTGGCCCCTACCCTGGAAGGCTGACAGTGGCAGTCTAGCCTCACAGTGGCCCCAGACAGTGGGAGGGTTCTGATGAGGTCGGTGGGCGCAGCCAGAGACAGCTACTCTGTTCCTCGGGGTCCAGGCACACCCCACGGCCTAGGGTGCTGCAGACTGGACTGCGCCCCACCCTGCCCAGCCCCCGGGGGAACTCAGAGCTTCTCGTCCAGCTCCAGGGCCTGGTTCTCCCAGGCGCCTCCGCGGACCGGGGCTGGGCTGCCGTCGGTCTTCAGGTAATTCTGGATGACGGAGGCGCAGTCCAGCCGCTCCATAAGTGTCATGAGATAGTGCAGCTCCTGCAGGCTGCCGTTCTGCTCCTCAAACAGCTCCAGGATGGCCGCTGCGGGGCTGCGCTGGCAGGACAGGAACCTGGCCACGGGTGGGGGGGGAGGGAAGGGGGG